GCGTCGCACTCTCGGGCAGCTACGAGCTGCGAGGGTCACGCTCCACCCTGGCGGCGGGCAGACGGTGCTTGTCAAGCTTGACATGAGCAGCGTCTTCTTGGTGCTACCATGCCCCTTTCCCTGCTCTGGCTCGGCCGGCGCTCGGCCAGCTCGGAATGCGGCGTGCAGCAAGGAGACCCTTTGGGACCGTTGTCTCCTTTGCGCAGCAACGCGCTGCTGCGGGGGCCCTGCCCCCGCGGCCGATGGCGCCCTGCCCCTGACTTTCGTCTTCCATGGCGACGGCGCCCTGGCGGGCGACTGGCGCGCCGCGGCGTAGCTCCTTCACCTGCTGGTGGAAGAGCTGGCAGCCGCGGGTTTCCGCTTGGGCACGGGGCCTCCAGAGCCCTTGTCCCCCCCAAAGCCAAGCCAAACATTTTACAGTTTTTGTGTATTCGTTGTGGTTGTTGGGCCCAGCGTTGTTCTCGCAACCTCGGTAAGGTCTGCCTGAGACCCACGAGGAAGGGCCGCGAGGTGCGCAGTAAATACACGAAGGGCCTGGCCCTTAGCAACCGTGCCAGGCAGTAGATTGGTAGATCTGCTTTGGTGTCAGCGTTGCACGTGTAGCCCAACCCGCGCTGTAAGACTTTTGCCTGTACGTCGGTTCCCTCCGCCCCCTCCGTTCCCAAATGTGAGAGTCGGCTGGCGGCACTTCAGGAGCGCGTTCGAGCCAGATTGGCTCACAAGGCCGAGGAATAGTTCTGGTCTTGGCACCCTGTCGCGGCCATGGTCAGAGTGTTGGGAGCTTTGTCATCCAAGGTAACGAATCCATGTCGGATGGGCGCCTTGATTCCAGTGTCAGACCTGCGAGTCTCCTCCTTTTGGGGCTGTCCTAACCGAACCGAACCTAACCTAACCTAACCTAGCCTAACCTAACCTAACCTAACCTCCTCCTCCTCCGGACGAAGGATGAACATACAGGGTTCCGCGGCCCACGGGGACTGCCTTTGGAGGCTAAAGGGAGGCCAGATGGGGCTGCGCAGCGCCCAGGGGAACCATGCCAGGGGAATGCCAGAGGGGGCGCCAGTTGGGGAGGCCGAGGACATGAGGAGGAGGAGGAGGAGGAGGAGGAGGAGGAACCGAGGAGGAACCGAGGAGGAGGAAAAGGAGGAGGAGGAGGAGGAGGAGGAGGAGGCGAGGGAAGAGGAAAAGGAGGATGAGGAGCAGGAGGAGGAGGAGGAGGAGGAGGAGGAGGAGGAGGAGGAGGAGGGGAGGAGAGGAGGAGAGGAGGAGGAGGAGGAGGAGAGGGGGAAGAGGAGGAGGAGGCGGAGGAGGATGAGGAGGAGAGGGAGGAGGAGGAGGAGGAGAGGAGGAGGAGGAGGAGGAGAGGGGAGGAGGAGGGAGAGGAGGAGGAGGAGGAGGAGGAGGAGGAGGAGGAGGAAGGAGGAGGAGGAGGAGGAGGAGGAGGAGGAGGAGTAGGAGGAGGAGGAGGGAGAGGAGGAGGAGGAGGAGGAGGAGGGAGGAGGAGGAGGAGGAGGAGGAGGAGGAGGAGGAAGAGGAGGAGGGAGAGAGGGAGGGGAGGAGGAGGAGGGAGGAGCAGGAGGTGGAGGAGGAGAAGGGGAGGAGGAGAAGGCAGGGGGAAGTCAGGTGGGAGACCAGAGAGGGAGGACGATCGATGTCGAGCGGCAGAAGAATACAGCGGTTTCGCGGCTCAAGGGGGGGGGCGGCTGCCTTGGGGAAGCCATACAAGGCGGCGCACCAAGGTAATGCCAGGGGGGAGAATTCAGGGGTAGGCTTAAGTCGGGCCCGTCCCTCTACAGGGGGAATATTCAAAGATAATGAAAACATAGTCTGGGGACTATTTCTTTAGTATTTGGGATCATGTTTTGAGCATTCGTTGACTATCTTCGTTTTTTCGCCCAAAATCTGCCTGTAGGGTGACACGCCCGACCGAAGGGCAGGCCAGGTGAGGAGAACGAACGGCGAATGACGAAACTAAAGAGGGCGGAACTCTAGAACACAGCTTCGCAGTAGAATGCGCTGTCAGGAAGTCTCAGGCGTAACGGCTGCCGGTCCGGGCGTCTTCGGGCTCCCCCGTCGCCCCACGTGGGTTTTTTTCTGTTGCTGTTTTTTCCCCACCCGTATTTTCTTCTAGCGAGTAGAATCCTCCAGCGAAGCGCGACTGGGGAAAAGTAGCGAAACTCGAGGATAGATCCCTGGGGGGGCTATTCTGACGTGTCCCTGGCGCACCCAGAGCGCATTCCCGACTGTGGCTTACTTTTTGGTCCCAGCCGAAAGCGTCACAGAGTCGCGGATGGGGGTCGCCATATCTCACTTTAGTTTCTCAGCCCGTCCCTTCGCCCCAGCTTGGCGGCTCGCACAAGGGGGTGGCGCGAGGGGGACGGCCTTCTAAAAAGCTTGGGAGGGGCTTCCATGTCAGGCAGGCGGCGTCCCAGAAGATCTGCCAGCCCAGTAGGGAGCCCTCTTGGAAGCCTCCAGACCCTTCTGGGAAGGCCCCCGCCTCCTAGAACCCCCCCCCCGCCTGCTGTAGCATCCACCCCACCACCCAGCGTCTGGACCATCGCACGTCTACAGGTGGGTGTTCATGATCGATTCGTTAATCGAATTTGGGCGGGCTGATGCCTCGCCTTCTCGAGGCAGCCTGAGTCCTTCGCACAGGCTGCGCTCATCATTCTGGAATCCGCATCCCCTCAACCACCCAGCGTCTGGAGGCCTGGACCCCTTCACGGGTGGCTCTCCCTTCCTGGCCCCTGGCCCGGCCCGTTGCGGCTGCTTCCCCCCCTCCTCCTCCCTCCCTCCCTCCCTTCCTGCTCGCCGCTTCCCTCCCTTTCCTGTTCCTCCCTCCCGTTCTCTCCTCCTCCCTCCTCCTCCTCCTCCTCCTCCTCCTCCTCCTCCTCCTCCTCCTCCTCCTCCTCCTCCTCCTCCTCCTCTTCCCCCTCCTCCTCCTCCTCCTCCTCCTCCTCCTCCTCCTCCTCCTCCTCCTCCTTCCTCCCTCGCCGCTTCCCTCCCATTCCTGATCCTCCTGCTCCCTGCCTGCTGTCCCCGCCTGGCCCCTCGTCTGCCTGCCCGGCCGGCCCCGCTGGCCCTGGCCTCCCGCCCGGGCGTCTGTCGTCGTCTGCCTGCTTCTCCCGTCCTCGCCCCCTACACCCTTGCGCGCGCCACCAAGCATCCTCTCTCAGTCTCTCTTGCGCAAGGCCACCCATACCCACAGACTCCTGCCCAGCCACTCGCAGCGGACAGGCCTCCGCGTCGAGTAGTCATTCTGGTCCGCGGCAGAAGTCTGGTGTCTAGGCTGACGAGTCTTGTGGCGTTGGATATCTATCAGCTGATTGTGACGCCTTGAGTACATTGCCTATTGGGCGCAGCGGTTTCGCACTGCTTGGCGCCGGCCGCTCTGACGATTCTGCGGCCTGGGGCCCGGTGCAGGGCCCCTGGAGGCCGAAGCCTACCTAAGATCTCCCGTCGTGATTTTTGCCCCCCGCATGCTAGCAGCTTTGGATGCAAGGTAAAGTCAGCATCGGCGCCGGTATCTCCGCGGCCGAAAAAAGGCCTCATCCAGCACAGTCGCGTTTAACTCAGTCAATCCGGCTCACCCTGGTCGGATCCCGTTGAATCCAGCTTTATGTTGGGAATTATCTGGCCTCATCCAGCTCCATGGCACCTTAAATTGGCTGAATTGCCCTTAGTCGTTTTAGACTGCGCAGACTTTCCAGGGGTTGCTTCTAACCTCTGGAGGTCCTTAGTTTTGATCCCCCCTTTTCTTATTCGGCGGTGTATAGGGCTGATTCTAAAACCTCTTCCTCTTTCCCCCCCTTCCCCCGCTCCTGAGGCAGTAGTCGTAGTCGCAATCGTAGTCGTGCCTGTCTTCGTGGTCGTCGTTGTTGCGCGGCAAGTGCTGCGGACAAACATAATTAGTTACCCCCTATTGGTGGCACCCGATTCCTTTCAACAAGGCCGCCGAAGTAATAATTAATTACCCCTATGGGGGGCTCTACAGAGTTATCGCGGTTGCCCTTGTCAAGATTCATATAAAGCATGTGTCACGCAGTTCCCTTGCGCGCGCAAGGTACTTGTTGGTGCCCGCTCTCCAACGTCTGTCATCCTGTAATTCCCGAGTCGTGTCCGCTCTGGCCGCGCTCCGACTTGCTTCGACACTGGAAGGGGCGACATTCGAAGGGTGAAAGTGGGAGACATCGAAGTGGTGTGTCAACCGCTCTGAGGCTAATTATGTCGAGGGATGTGGTTGTCGGGAAGCGGTGGATTTGGATAAACATTACACGTGTCACACATACGATGAGAAGTCTTGCTACAAGGAATCTTGGGGCACATTCTTCACCGACCTTTCTGGGCCCTACGGTGCCAGAGCCTCTCTTGGTCCCTGGGGCCATCGGGGGACAGACAATGATGCCCCGTGAGGCACCAACTGGCAGGCCCGTCTCTCACTTGACGTGCCTACTGCACTCCGGCCCTCTGCTTGGCATCGCTCGGACGTGTGCATTTTTCTTTCGGCGAGGACCATCGAGAAGCATCCTTGATCATTTGGCGAAAAAACCACGCACGAAACCGAAAAAAACACAGGGAATGGACGTCCAAGCGATGGCGAGTCTGGGGGTCGTATTTTTGTGGAGGGGCGTTTAAGTCAGCATTTCCCTGCTGCCAGACTGCCGACCTTGTCCGCTTGGATCGCGCATAGGCACCAGCCCTGAGGTCAGGCACGATAGGCTGGTCCGCCGGACAGCTACGCTTGCACGGCACCGAGCGCGATGCCCTCCGCAAGCGGTCCTCGTCCGCTTGGCCGAGCTTGTGCGTTCGGCCCTTGCTGCTGCCCCCGTGATCGGCCAAGTATCAGGAGGGAAAGAAACACACAGACACAATTAATCGTCGACTCCCAGGAAAATATGCGAAAATGTGGGAAGTGGGAGGGAAGACAAAAACCCAGAAAATATAGGAAAATATGGGAAACAGTGGCAGGCGCAGTTTTAGCGCTTCCCCCGCCGCCCCAGCGTCCTGGACCTCGAGGGCCTGGCCAAGCTGGGCGACGGGCTCCCCGCCGAGCCCAAGGCCCCCGCCAGGCGCCAGGCGAGCGGCCCGAAGGACGAACCCCCGCCGCCGGAGAGCGCCCGCCGCCACCGACACCGCCGACGACGACGACGCCGACGACGACGGCGTCGACGACGCCGACGGCGGCGATAACGACGATAACGACGACGACGACGATGCCGACGCCGCCGCCGCCGATGTCGACGACGCCGATGACGACGTCGACGACGCCGACGGCGGCGATAACGACGATAACGACGACGACGACGATGCCGACGCCGCCGTCGCCGACGACGACGACAAAGATCATACGAACCTGTGATCCTAAAGGCAGTTTCGGCCTTCGTTTATTGTAGTGGCCTCCGGCCAGTGCCGCCGATCCGGGGCGCTCCGGATGATGATGATGATGATGATGATGGTGATGATGCTGATGATAATGATGATGATGATGATGATGATGCTGATGATGATGATGATGATGATGCTGATGCTGATGCTGATGCTGATGCTGATGCTGATGTTGATGCTGATGATGACGATGATGGTGATGATGATGACGATGATGATGATGATGATGATGATGGCGGTGGTGATGATGACGATGACGATGATGATGATGATGGTGATGATGATGATGACGATGACGATGACGATGATGATGATGATGATGATGATGATGATGATGATGATGATGATGATGATGGCTGATGATGATGATGATGATGATGATGATGGTGATGATGACGATGATGGTGATGATGATGATGATGGTGATGTGATGGTGATGGTGATGTGACGATGGTGATGGTGATGGTGATGGTGATGGTGATGGAGATGGTGATGATCCCGGCCCCCCTCTCACTCTCTCTCCTGTCCCCCCCCCTCTCCTTTCCCCCCCCCCTCCCCCCTCTCTCCTGTCCCTCCCCCCCTCCTCTCTCTTGTCCCCCCCCCCCTCCTCTCACACCTGTCCCCCCCCCCTCCCTCCTGTCCCCCCCCTCCTCTCTCCTGTCCCCCCCGCCCGCTAGGTCTGTGAACCACCCCCCCCCCTTGGGGGGGCTTCTCTCCATACACGCCCCTGGGAGAAGCATTCAGCGGTGCACTCTGTATGCGCACTGCGCGGTCATGGCCGTGAGGCGAGCTGGCGCGCCCGCGGGCAACTCACCAACTTCATTGCGTTGCGAGCAGGTCACGGCAACGACGACAAAATCACGACGGGAGGCTCCTGGGTCCCGGGTCCACTGGGAGAAGGAATCGGCCGAAGAATAGAGGTCCGGACCTCTGGGGGACCACTTCGTCGAGAAAAGTCAAGGCGCTGGGATGGGATTCCCTGAGACCTTGGCGTGGTACTCGTCTCGCACCGGGTGTTTCTACTGCGTTTCGGGCACTTTGGGATCTCGCGGGCCGGTCTGGCTCGCAGCATGCTGCAGAGAAATGGGGTTTTGCGACCTCGGTCGTGATTTCCCGCGATGTTGCAAGTTTTTCGCCACTTCGGATCGCAGAGGCGGAGGGCGGCGCAGATCGGAGAAGCAAACAAAAACGGCGGAGATGGAGGCCGCCGCCGCTTCCGCGAGGGAGCCGACGTCGGCCGCGTCGTCGGCGTCGTCGACCGCTTCTCCGTCGTCGCCCGCGTCGATGCTCGCCTAAAATTAAGTCGTGCATGTCCCCTCATACAGGGGGAATTTGGACGAGAAATAGAAAGTATTCAAAAAGTATTCAAAACATGCCCAAACATATTCAAAGAATAGTCCACATACTATTTCTTTTTGTTTACTATTTTTGAATATTCCCCCTGTAGAGGGACAGGCCCGACTCAAGCCTCAAAGTTAGGAACACCAGTTTGCAGGAAGCGACGGTTCCTGTGAAGGCGGATTCGGGGGAGCCCTCGCGGCCTCCTCGCCGCATGGCTCCGCGGCATCCAAGTGCAGTGGGCGACCAGGGCTACCTTCCTGCTGAAGGTGTTCATTGCCGGTGAATCCAGATGTCCAATTGTCCAGTTCATATCTCATCGAAGACGCCTACGGCGAATCACCGTGGACCCCTGCCTTTTTGGAATCGCCCATGTGACCGAACGTTGTGGCCAGAGCTCCTGGGCCGTCTTGGAGGTCTCTTGGGGGCCTCTGGGGCCATCTTGGGCCGTCTGGGTGGCTTCTTGGGCGGACTTGGAGGCATCTGGGACCCTCGTGGGCCGTCTTGGAGGCCATCTTGGACCATCTTCGGAGAATTCGGAGGTCACCTTGGGCCATCTTGGCCGCCTCTTGGCCTTCCTGGACGCCATCCACGGCCCGAAAACACGTTTTCGACGGCCTTCCTGGTGGCCGGCGGCATGCGCCGAAGCCCCAGGGGGAGTTTTTTGTGTGGATGGCATCCCGTTGCGAGCGCCGCCGCTCGTGCTGGCAGGATTGGGGACAGAGTCAGCGTGAGCATGGGAGCACGTGCATACATTGGGTGCGATTGATTTTCTCCGCCGGTCACGGCAAGCCCGCCACTGCTTAGGAGAACGTGTGCATTGATATTTGCTTCCACTGTGTTGCATGGCAGTTGCATTAGTGCGGAGCGCTTATCCCATGAAGTGGGATAACTGTCGTGGTGCATGGCACTTGCATTGCTGCGGAGTGCTCATCCCATGAAGTGGGATAGCAGTCGCGGTGCAATCTGTCGGGACCATCTGGGCGGTCCAACCACTGCCCGGGTCCTCGAGCTGCCCTGGGGGTCTTCCTCGAGCTGCGCTCTCACCGTCTGCTGGCTCCGGGGTGCCGCGATCGTCCCATATCTGTCTCGAGGCTGGTCTGGAGGCGCCACGCGCCGCTCACCGCGGCGCGTCTGCAACACGGCCGGTCTGGTGGCGCCACTCGGCGCTCACCGCGGCGTGTCTGTCTCAAGGCCGGTCTGGTGGCGCCTACGACCGCTCACCGCGGCATGTTCGTATGCTCTGGATGCGACTGCAAAGAAATTGTACACATCTGGCTCAAGCCCAACCGGGTTTGCGGTCTATAGAAGTTACACTGAGTTTGCAAGCCTTCTCGAGCCTGCGCGCTGTATGGGTAAGTAGCGGAGACTGACAAAAAAAAACGGCGTTCAAGTCAAAGCCAGGAACAGCTACGCGGGGACCCGGCGGGAGGGGCGGAGTCTTTCACTACTGAGCAAGGCCAACGCAAAGGCCAACGGGAACCAGAGTAACGAGCAAGAGTTAGGGCGGTTGGGAGGCGGCGGATCTAAAGAATAGCAGATTGTCCTGTCTTCCACATTCTCATTGTGGTTGCAGCCCGGGGGGGCTATTCGATCTGGCCGATCAGCCGATCAGACGCAGACCAGCCGATCAGCCGATCAGCCGATAAGAGTGATCGGCTGATCGGCTGATCGGCTGATCGGCTGGTCGATCGCTTATCGGCTGATCGACTGATCGGCTGATCGGCTGATCGGCTGATCGGCTGGTCGATCGCTTATCGGCTGATCGGCTGATCGGCTTATCGGCTGGTCGACCGCTGATCGGCTGATCGGCTGATCGGCTGGTCGACCGCTTATCGGCTGATCGGCTTCTGCCTCCTCCTTTTCCTCAGCTGCCTCCCCCTTTTCTTCCTCCTCTTCTTCCTCAGCTGCCTCCTCCTCCTCCTCCTCCTCCTCCTCCTCCTCCTCCTCCCTCTCGTTTCCCCCCCCCTTCGTTTTCTCTCCTTCTCCCTCCTCCTCCGTCTCTCCTCCCCCTTGCAGGTCGACCGCTTATCGGCTGATCGGCTTCTGCCTCCTCCTCTTCCTCAGCTGCCTCCCCCTTTTCTTCCTCCTCTTCCTCAGCTGCCTCCTCCTCCTCCTCCTCCTCCTCCTCCTCCTCCCTCTCGTTTCCCCCCCCCTTCGTTTTCTCTCCTTCTCCCTCCTCCGTCTCTCCTCACCCTTGCATTTCTGCACGCCTCCTCCTTCGGTTACTTCTGCTCACCCTCCTCCTCATGTTTTCATGTCTCATCATCTTCTTCCTTCTCGTTCTCTCCCTCCTCCTACTCCTCCTCCTCCGCCTCCTCCGCCTCCTCCCCTTCCTCCTCCTCCTCCTCCTCCTCTTCCTCCTCCTCCTCCTCCCTATCATCTTCGCATTCGTCCAGTTCATCCTCTCCTCTTCCTCATCATCGTCATTATTATCATCATCATCATCATAATCATCATCATCATCATCATCATCATCATCATCTTCGCCCTTCATCGCCCTCCCAAGCCTTACCTCAGGAGTTTGGCCCAAATGGTGCTTAATCGAGTGAGGTGCTGTCCCCATCGGGGCGGGGATGGCCCAGACAGTAAACACCAAACACGTTGCGTGGACGCCGATGGGAATCCATGCTGTCGCGCTCATGGAGGGCATGAGCTTCCAGGACATGGGTGTGAAAATGCCACAGAGCATGCCCAGGTAATTTTGTTGTTTTTCAACCCCTTGCTTTGTTCCACCCATTTTTTGCCATAGCTTCTTCTTTTTTCAGCGGCGCCGCGTGCAGGACACAGGCTTGACGGACTTCGCAGAGGGCCGGTGAACATCCGCGAGCGCGTCTCGGAGCTGGCAGCCTATGCCAACGCCGCAGCGGTCAGCACGGTGGAGAAAATTCACGGGGCAGCCGCCGCCGAGGCCTTCTTTGAGAAGGTGTGCGTGGACCCGGCCGTGTTGCAGTTACTCCAGGACGCGGTGAAACGGAACAAAGGGGTTCAGTTTTTTTGGGCGCGGTGTTTAGCTGGATTTCCGTGCCGAGTGTGCCCTTTGCGCTCAGAGTGGTGGTGGCATGAAACACAGTGTTGTCTTCCAGCGCCGCGCCCTGAAATCTGGGCTGCTTTTCTCTGTTTTCTGGCAGGACCCGCAGTGGTCAGACCGCGCGCGGGGGGAATGTAACTATCAGATGAACAACACTGACATGTATTTGTTCAGTGAGTTCATTGGCACGCGCTTGGAGGTGCAGCTACTCGCTGCGTGGTTGGCGCGGTTGTGGTTCAACTGCGACGGCGGGGTCGGGCGCGCCAGGACGACGTATCGCGAGGAGTCGGGCGGCGACATGGCGGAGGGTCGCGGCTTGGATGTCGTTGCCCTTCAGCGCGCGTCTAA